TGATTTGGAAAAAGTTTTAAATGAACTGTTGCTTGCACAGTTACAAGAAAGCATCCTGGATAACTTCCAAATAAATAAAAACTCGACTTGTGCAGCCAGCCATCGAGATTTAGGAAGCATATTATCGCTTTAACAATTAGCAGCGAATGTCGAAAAGTCAATTAGTTCTAACTTTCGGCAACAAATAAAGACACTGAAAAGTACAGTAGAATGATAGCGTGCAAAAAAATGAATTTTGTTGCTTGATAATGATATGGAAGACTCCTCCGGCGCAAAATCACCCTCGCGTGATTCAACGCACTACTGACTCCAAAAGCACTTCTTATGCTCCAATAACGCTGTCCCAAAACAGGATTTATGATTCATACACGCACTCTAATGATCCAAAATTTTTCGCATAAAGCAATACTGTGACCCAGACAAAACTTCATTCGCAAAACACTACACGCTTATATGCATCATTACAAATCCAGCTCTCATTTCTAGAGCGATTTTACAACAGTAGATGTATCACTGTTCAAATGAATCACAACTCAACACATCAAATTCTAGCCGTTTAAATAAGTCGGCCGGCCGCTTGGGACCTGATAATCCACCGGCCTCACGTTTTTCTTTATTTGAGAAGCAAGCCTAACTCAAACCTCTAGGGAAATTAGACACGCAATATTCATTACCAAAATCCTATTGTGAAATGGATTTTCCAAAATTCACTACTGACCATAAATGTAACTGTTAAAAGAAGCACAAGCAGGTGGTGCTTTCCTTGGATCACATGAATACATGTGGGCAGAAAGCAGCTGAAAAAAAAAAACAGTCCATGAACGTTTGAAAAGCAGTTCATGCAAAAAGCACAGACAAACGCATATTCAATGAACTCAGTACTGCCCGAGTAAGAGCACTTTAACAAATAACAACAGCTTTTCGCTGGCAAAATTGTCTGTGGCTTCCATTCCCGGAAACTGCTGCAAGCAGTCTTAGAAAAGTTTAATCCCCTGCTATGGCACGAACGTTAGTGCCATTTAAGAAGAAATAAATGATTTGCGATTTGTATAAAAGTGATTTCACACTGGTCGATTTGAGCCAAAACTTAGAACCTGATGAAAACATGTAACTCTTGCGAACACACAAAGTCCGTCCGTAACAAATATCACAGTCCTTCAATATGTTTACAAGTCATCCTCAAAAGGATTCTTTGGCACTTCTTCAACATCAAAAGGATTCGTCGACTGTCGAGGCAAAGGCCTGCGCGTAGTCCTGGATCTCGGTAATGAATATGGATTTGAAGTTGGTGTGCTCGCTGAAGCTGTCTCTGCTGGCGACTGGTCCTCAGATGAAGTCCCAGTCGCATGTGTTTTCAAATTGGTGTCCGCATGTATGCTTTTCCTTTCATGCTCACTCTCAGTTCCTTTCATTTTCTTCTGCGAATCGAAAAGACCGCAAGCAATATAAGATGAAATCAGCGGCATGCAGTCTGGCGCTTCATTCACCTGTAACCAAATTAAATAAAACAACAACTCTATGTGACTGGAAAATCTCTTGGAATTTTTTACACAACGGAACGGTAGAAAAACCACGAACTCGAACACGAGTTACTTAGTGCTGGGTGCGAAATGTAATGGTCTAAAAAGTTGCCAAACACGGCGGAATTTTAACACTAGCAAGCTAACAGCCTGACTATGGGACAATACCTAGAAAGAGGATGCATAAAAGGTGGTTTTCGGCAAGAAAAGCGCGGTAAACTGCGCTTTAAATGTGCCCGCATAACCTAACCAAGTTTAGACGGTAACAGCTCGAGTCACTGTAAGATAGACAACTTACTTTTCAAGGTTACCAATGACACATTAAGCATCTTCACAGCTTAACAATTTAAGATTCTTAAAACGCTACTCAAAAGCAAAGTATGAAATACCTACCTCACTCAAGAACTGAGCGTAAGCACCACGACTAGAAAAATCTTTTAGCTGGTCGTAACATGTTCTGTAATGAAAGCAAATTACGATTTGGAAAAACAGCGAAATACGCAAGAGAACTTACAGGAACACACAAATGGGTGAAAAGAAGCATCCGCCAATTCGTGCTAGGAACATGGATACCCTGCACTATAATGATTTTTTGAAAAATCAATAAAATTACGAGTTTGCTCTAAACAACATTGTTTCTGTTTAGGACTCTGCCACAGAAAAGATGCAGATAGATACGTTTGAAAAATTCGGATTTTAGGGCACTGAATTGAGATTATGTGGTGACCTAAATCGTCAAATTTTTAAGTTCGCAGTCAGAAATAAATAACACAAGATTTTAGTCTTGAGGTGGAAGACCAAGATAAACAGAAATCTGAGAACCGAACTCAGAGTTGATCTCATACGAAATCGAGGATTACGCTTAAGAAAAATCTAAGTTTCAGTATATTTTTAGAATGATAAAAATACAAGTATACACGAGTAATATAGTCGCACAATACAAAAATAGCTAGCAGCTAAGCAGGCAAGACATCGTCATGATGCTCCCTGCTGATTTTTAGAAAAGCTGAGGAATGTTGATTATTCAAAGCGAAAATTATTCTTATAATTCAAACAAACCTTTGAAGGTTATCTCTTGTACATGCTGGGCAACTATCAGCCTTTTCGCTATACGACTCGAGGCAGTGGGCGTGATACGAATGTTTGCAAAGAAAATGTATAGCAGGAAGTTGTAGAGAAGTGTCACAGGCGGAGCATTTATTCATTTGAAATATCTGCACGCTGCAAAATGAAGTCACAAAAATCACAGTTCATGAAAATTTTCGCATATAAATCGCTAAAATTATCCAGACTATCGTCATGATGTCGCAGAGTAGCAGCACATGCTAGGCGTAGCAATGACAAGTTATTTTGCTCTGACTTGTATGATATCAATTCCCGCCCGTACTCACTAAGGCTAGGAATTCCTTACTGATTATTCAAAAGATCTAAAAGAAATCGAATTAATGAAAATGAGTTAAACGAAAAATATTAATAATTGGCTACTAAATATGTAAATATACTGACTTGTAATTAATGTTATCAATTTGCTTTTCAATTTCGACCATCTTCGCTTCATTCTCTACAATCGCTTTTTCATTCTCTTCAATCTGAATCAGTAGCAATGAATGCACCAAAAAAAAAAAAATATCATAATGCAATCGCACACAAAAAGGAGGGTTTTTACACCCGAGTGCAAGTAATAAGAACTCAAAATCGTTCAAAGAAATGATGCTGAGTCCGCAATGTTACCGA